GAGATAAGTGCAAAGTCCTACACTTAGGTACAAAAAATCAAAGGCACAAATATAAGATGGGAGGCACTTGGCTTGACAGCAGCACATGTGAGAGGGATCTAGGTGTTCTGGTTCATCACAAGCTAAACATGAGCCTGCAGTGTGATGTGACTTTGAAGAAAGCTAATACAGTCTTAGGATGCATTAACAGAAGCATTGTGTCCAGATCATGGGAGGTGGTAGTTCCACTCTATTCTGCTATGGTCAGGCCTCACCTGGAGGACTGTGTCCAGTTTTGGGCACCACATTTTAGGAAGGATGTTGACAAGCTCGAGCATGTCCAGAAGAGGGCAACCAGGATGGTGAGAGGGTTTGAATCCGTCTTATGAGGAAAGGCTGAAAGAGTAGGGTATGTATAGCCTGGGAAAGAGAAGGCTTAGAGTGGACATGATTGCAGTCTTCAAATATTTGAAGGGCTGTCATGTAGAAGATGGAGCAGATCTATTCTCTCTTGCTCTGGATTGCAAGACTAGATCTAATGGGTGGAAATTACAAGGGAATAGTTACTGGCTAAATATCAGGAGAAACTTCCTAACTGTAAGAGTGGTTGAGCAGTGGAACAGACTGCCTTGGGAGGTGGTGGATGCTCCTTTGCTGGACATTTTCAAGCGGAGGCTGGACAACCATCTTTTGGGTATGTTGTAGGGCTATCTTTCGGCTATGCTCCTGCAGAGTGCAGGGGGTTGGACTAAATGACCTGCAAGGTCCCTTCCAACTCTAACATTCTATGATTCTATATTTATATAAAAGAGAAAAAAATCTACATCACACATGCACAAAACTCTGAGAAACCCAAAAAAGCCACAATGAATCTGGGTTGTTCCAAATCCACCACATGACCATCACAGGTCCCAGGCTGTGAGACAATAGTCTCTTGCCCTTCCCCTTACACCCAAGGGCTCCTGCCTCTGGCCCCACGCAGGCTTGAAATACCTGCAGGAAGAGGAGGTAAAAAGGTAATCAGAGAGGGACCTCAGCTTCTGCTAGCTTGGTGCCAGCATTCCAGCAGCATAACATAAGAAGATAAGAACCAGTGGTCCAACTAGATCAGAGTCCCCAAACTTTCTTCGCCTGTGGGAACGTTTGAAATTCTGGCACAGAATGTAGTGGGCACAGCCAAAATGGCTGCCACAAGAGGCAGAGCCAGCCACAAAATGTCTGCTGCAGCTTACTTTCAGTCACACAGCCAAAGCACTGTTTTTAAATTCTGCACAGCCAGTCAAATCTCAAGTGGTCAGTCAGAAGCTTTGCTGGGCCAAAGTCCCACCTGGCCCTGCCCACTTTCTAAAGGAATTTTGTTGATCCCAAGCAGGGTGCTAACAGGCACCATACTGCCTCTGGGCAGTGGCCACCACGCTGGGGAGCACTGGTCTGTACTCCATTATACTGAAGAAGGGCACAGCATGTAAGCATTACATTCAGGGGTCATTTCGTAGAAAAAGAGCTAGGGGAACTAATTAGCATAACTCATTAGCATATGCCACACCCCCTGACATCAGGGGCCCGGCGGTGGACCAGCAAGGCCGGCGGGAGTGCGAGGAAGCCCCGCCAAGGCCCTCCCTCTTCTCCTGCCTCCTCCTGGCTGGATGAGGTCCAAAAGCGGGGCGGCCGGAAGCAGGGCTTCGTCATGTGCCCGCGCCCCCACACCTCCCTCACCCGGGGGAACTGCGATCCCCCATGATCCCCCCCGAATCGACCTCTGATTACATTACATACACATCACACCTGACTGTTCCTCTGATTCTGGGGGAGGAGTTTATTGGTCAAGTCCTCCTTTGGTGGGGAGTCTGAATGAGCCCCTGTCCCCCACTTGCTGAGTGCTCTGAGGCCTCCCAGCTTCGGAGGGACCCTTTGAAATATGAGCAGAAAGGCACAAGCCTTGAGAAGTTTTGTTCTGTGCTGAGGGAAAGACGGTCTGTTTCCAAGGAAGGAGACACCAAAAGTCTTGTACATTTTGGGGAGCAAGAAACTGTCAAGTTTGTTTGCTTTTTGTATTCTGTATTTTGGTGTAGTGGTTAGGAATGCGGACTCTAGTCTGGGAGAACCAGGTTTGATTCCCCACTCCTCCA